CTATCTATCTATCTATCTAACCATTTGAAACCAAACACCATGCACCGTGCGTCATAGCTGCAGTGCCGCGTTCACCCCCGGCTCGCTTCCTTTCCACTGTGATCCAAAACTATGTTGTTTCCACAGATGACGGTCTCCAAAATGGACCCGGACAGCACAGGAATTTACAAGGTAAATGAATGCCTCACGGCGAGCGGAGTGTTACTGCTCTCATGTTTGTATGCTATTGAGCTAGGTTAGCGTAGCTTAGCATAAAGGCTGGCAGCAGGGGTAAGCTAGCCAGCTGGCTCTGTTCAAAGTTAGTTCAAAGGTCGCTGACAGACTGACAGTTAGCGAGCTATTGTGTCTCTGCGTCACCAAGTCTCTGGTGTCGTCAGTTCTGTGAGGACGGGAAGATAAACTTTTATTTGCCTTTTTATGGTGTAAGGTGTATTTTCTCGGACTAGGGAAAAAGTCAAGTTAGCCGTTTCCCACTGCTTCCAGTCTTTTGGCTAAGCTAAGCTAATTGCCTCCTGGCTCTAGCTTACGGTGACCATATTTTCAAACCACCAGCTAACCGTAAGCATACTGACAGAACTACAGAAAGAGCCACAAGCCTTGGCGACGACATATTGATTGATTTACACACATATACAGATAAATCATTGTTTAATTCAGAACATTTGAGTGTTTTACAGATATTTATCAGGACTCACAGCGTCCAGCTTGAACACTGGATGTGTGCTCAACATACTCAAGCTCCATACTTCATACACAAACATTACAGTAGTGTAAATAACTCTTGGCAAAAAAGCTAATAGGCATATTTCCCAGGATGTCAAACTATTTCTTTACCATAAATCCAGTACACAAAGCCCTATTTAAGAGCTCATTACATTTCCATTACAATGTAGTGGAAATAAAGGTAATAAAGGTACACAGGCCAAGAAAAGGAATGTCACAGCCTTTAGATGTTGAATGGAAATGTTTGCAGGCACTCACCGATGAAAAGACTTTCGGCATAGACCTTGTACAAACATTTATTGCGCAACTATTGTCGCACACCCACAATACCCTGCATTACATTAGAGTCATTATTCTTAGTGAAAGATTAACTTCAGGGGTTTAAATGTTACACCCATTAGGTGCTAAATTAGCTCTATCACAGTTTCGACAGACAGCAAAGTGTGTAGAGAGAGTGCGCCTTGCTTATTATAGCTGCTGTGTGTATTTATGTGTGTGTGCGTGTGTGTGTGTGTTGTGCGCGTGTGTGCGTCAGAGCTCGGCCCGTGCTGCTGCAGAGTGAGGACACATTTGGCTCCAGCTGCTAATCCTGCCGGATGCCTTTGCCATGATGTGTCTCTCGGCACCAGGAAATCCCCTCAATGTCTTCATTCAGGCAGCCTGCCTCGCACACACACAGTCGCTGCCTCTCTGGCCCCTTACACACACTTTGTTAGCTTGCAAGTTGCAGCACTAGCCTCTTAAAGCCAGCGTTATTCTCCGCACACTCTTGGGGCTGTAGCCCGCGTCTTCGACTCCAAACTAGCTGTTCTGGCTTTGGAGATCTTGCGACTATCTGCTCGAGCAGCAGCTGCTTTTATGTAAACTATCTCGGACTGGAGTTCCAGCTTCATTTCACCCACTGCCACTTTCCCAGTTCTCAGCTTTAGCCTGAGAAAAAAAGAAAGATGCAGAGCGATGATGCAATACCCAGCAATCAGCCTCCATTGTGTAATGTTGCTCGCTACGGCTCAGCTTCCTGGAATTCCCCCTTTTCTTATGCGAGTCACATTGTACCAAAGACACAAGAAGAAGCACAGGAAATGAACTGCAGGTATCCCAAACTACCCACAACCACCAGAGAAAACATTATGGACCATTCTGGGTCACATTGACATAAGGTTCCTCAAGTTCCTGTAGCTGGTTTTTGAGGCTGCTCCTGGCAGTGATGTGTGAGCTGGTGGCTTTCCACTGTGCTGGTGGTTAGCCTTGGCTGGCCCCTCTCTGGCAGCGGCCGTGGACCAGGCCTCAGTGATGTAATAACTTCATTTATAGGCGGCCATCACAGCCGGATCTGTACGCCACCACGCAATTCTCACACTCTCGCTGCCCCCTTCGCCAACCGACCCTCCCGCTCTTTCCTCTCTACTATTATCCATAGGTCACAGCACATGCCTCAAACACACATAAACACACACACGCACACACATAAACACACACGTACACACACACACAGGCCTCTGTTGTTTGTTTTGTATCCTTGACTGCCAGTGCTTAGGGTAGTCTGGAGCTCTGAGCCTGTAGAGGCAGGACTGAAACAACACTTGTCACCAGAGAGCGAGGCAGCGATAATGAGAAATAAAGATGGAGGTAGTGTTAGGTTTGATTTTAAGATTTTAATATAAGTAGAGTTGAGGTTTATTAATTGATTAGTCGATCAGAAAATCAATTGACAATAATTAAGGGATCATTTAACTGAGTAAAAGTAAAAATGCTTGTTTGCTTTTCTTCCTTTTTATATAATTAACTCTAAATCTGGTAAATTGTATTATTTATTTAATGTTCACTATTTTTAAATATCTTGTTGACTTAATTGCTAAAGATCCAGCAAACATTTTTCAATCAATTAGGAAATCATAGCCACAGTCATGAATTGCATTCCTACTCTTGAGTAAAATCCCATTTCCACAAAATAAAAGCACTTTCCTAGTCTTGCACACACTTAATTTCACTTGGACAAATGCTCTTTAGCCTCATGTCCATCTCCGATTGATTCAATCCGATTCAATCAAAAATCCATTCATGTCCTGATGTGGACTAATGCGGTTAACCCAGCTCCATACTCAGAACAGAGACAGTGACTCAGTTCCTTCCTGTTCGGAGAGGACAGCCCTGGTCCAACTGTTAGTCATCCACCACTCCTCACAGGGTATATTTTAACCACTGTGTCAGTCGCAGCAGGGAGCTCCAGGCCGACACAGTATGTGCTGTATGTACGATGAAGCAACACCGTGTGGTGTGTGTGGCTCGTTTACATACGTAGGTGTGATTTCACTCTTTCCTCTGTTCTTCCCTCTGTCTTATCACTTCAACAAGCCAGGACAGGAAGACACCAGAAGTGGCTCACCTGTCTCACAACTACCTTATCTTATCGCATCCAAGCTACCCACACATGTAGTTAAAAAGTTATTGCTGCAGAAAGGAATGTGCTAATGAGGCACACAGCATGCCACTGCATTTGATAAGAAATGTGCTTGTGTGATGGTCTCTAATTATACTTAATTCTCAGTCAATTAGTTTTGATTTGGTGCTCTGACGTAATAAAGTGCCCAATAAGTTATCATCATTAATTTGAATAATATCAGTCCTTCCCCTGGCACTCTCTCTGTTTGCACTGTTCGCACTGTTTGCACTGTGTGCTGAGATTTTGTGGGTGTAACTTTTCTTATCGCCGTGCCTTATTTATCTTCAAGTGGAGGGAGTGTGCCAGTCAGAAGGGAGGGGTGTTACGCCGTACCTCTCTTCACTCCTGCTGCTATATTGGGATTGTCAAACAAGACGTTCACCTCCGTGGTTAGCTGCTGGCGTGGTTCGACCTCAGTTTATGTCAGCTCGCTCGCTGGGCCAGAGCAGGTGAATGTTTGCAGCCGCCAAAAGAGCTGGTAGGAGTATTGAGAAATATCTTTGAGTGAAAAGCAGATAAAGGTTTTAAAGTGAGATTATGTAACTTTTGAAGGAAGAAATAACACTCCTTCTTTGTAAAATTGAAAAGTCGAATCCACGAGCACTAAAAACTTAAATGTTTTGCTGCTACAGCCTCACTTAATCTGGTATGACTAGTAGCCTATGGTGGCTCATATTAGCTATGGTTGTGTGATGGCCTGCCGACCTCTGCTAAATTGCGTCATCTCCCTTTAAAGGGTCAATTCATCCAGTGGTATCCATCTTTGAGGTTTCTGCCTCCACCTCAATACAAAGGAGGATGCAGAACACTGCTGTGCATTACATTGCTGGATTTTTTTTAGAAATGCAAGATATCTGGATTCAAGTGTGTGACAGCTGAAATATGCTAATTCAGTGATATTTTCCAAAGCTTGTTTAAAGATATTCTGGAAAATATTGGAAATTACTTGCCTAAGAAAAAATAGATAGGGCATGTAAAATGACAACATTTTATCATTATATAGCTGGAATTTATTGGCCTTGACCTAGATTGTCTTTATTTGGGAATGTGATGGGGGTGTCAGTAGAATGCATGCCTACTAGATTAGATCAGATTCAGATTGTTATTGGGGCAATACTGCCCTAAATACAGTTTCTCTCTCAGTGTCATTAGAAAGATATAGATATAGAGATATAGATAGATATCTCTGTCGTCATGTTACTTTAATTATCCTGATGAGGTTGACGTATTTGGGAATTTGGTTAAAAAAAAGACTGGAATCAGATTAGGAATCAGCAATCGGAGGGAGCGTTGAGAAAAAAAGTCAGGGCAGTGCATCCCTAATCTGGGTGTGTAAATCTGCGTGTGTGTGCTGTGTCCCCTCGGTGAACCCAACGGACTGGCCCACTGTCGGCGAACAGCTGGCCACAAGAGCCTTACAGTGGGAACAAGATCAAATGTCGTCTCAGACCCCATCTGCTCCATGTGCCGCTATCACACTCGCTATGTGAGTGACATTCCCAGTGGTCTTTCACACACACACACCACAGATCCCTCTTTATTTTAAGAATTGGCCTATCCTGCAGGTGCTGTGTGTTGCAAGCACACACCTGCCTGGTTCCTGGTGAACCTGAGTGTGTGTTGTGTTGTGTGTTGTTGTGTGGTGTGTGTGTTTTTATAATGAATGCACCCAGGGCTCATCTGAAAGTCAAGCAGGAGCTGAGGTCAACGACCTCTTCTTTATATTGTAATCACCGCACTCAGATAATTGGTTCTATTAAAGTCTCTTGATATGGTAATGTCTGACATGCTCATCTGCATGATTGCCCCCTTTACACATGAGAGTGTGTTTGTGAGTGTGTACGGCAGAGAGTGTGAAGTGGGAGAAGAGAAGTGAGAAATGGAGATGCTGAGCGTCACTCTCGCACTTGCAGGTTTGCTAAATGATTTTTAAGGGTTTAATGAACACTATAGGCCTGTCCCCTGTAAAAAGCGAATTATGAATTTAAAATACACTTGACTTCTTCTTGTTCGGATTTCTCCATCAAAGTCAGTAAGCTCAGTTCACATTTAAGCCTGCAGCCACATTTTTTATTCTCTGTCAGTGTTTGTCAAAAGAGAAGATCGATCTTTGTCTCATTACAGGGGACTAAATTTCAGCTAAAGAATTATCTTCCTGAAATATTGAAGTGCTTAATAACCGAGCTCCGGGCTGCGCACTCGCAACTATATTGTCCCCTGCGACAGGCACTCATTGACACCCATGCTGCATTATTAAACACCGTTGCTCTTTCATAGCTTTTGTATGCAGAGTACAGAGTTTGAGAGTGTTCAGAATTGTTAGGTTTGTCCACTGCGTCAGAATGTCTCATCTCAGTCATACCTAAATAAAGGAAGATTTCTCTTGCCCAGGTGTCATACAAAGAAAATATCTGCAACGATGATGCAGTGGAAATTCCACAGATTGTATCAGAACAGGAAGTAACACATGGTGTTGCCTCATTGCCTGGTCTGAGCTATGAAGCAAGACACATGACAAATGATCAAACTGGACTTGCGTTACCTGTTGGGCTATCATCACTCATCTGTGACACACTTAATGTCAAGGAATGGTCACATGGGTATTTTATGCCACACATAACGTAGGGGTCTAAGGAAGTATTGTATTGCAGTATTTGGTTTTGTGATATTGTATCAATTCTCCAAAACCATGTATCGATATCAGTGTTGTAAACTGAGGGCTATGATGTTGGATGATACAAGGACTGAGAATACACATGCAGATCCTGCAGTACTTTCTAGCATATGGTGGTGTGTTCTTTATACCATGACAGTTTTCCTACAATTATTGAATCGTAACACCGGTAAAGATACTTATCATACCAGATTCTTGCCACTACACAGTCCTAATATATAGTGAGTTTACACAACTGTAGGTCATTTTTCTGTTGATACAGATACTGTTGATGTTGATTACCTTAAAGGAATCGCACATAACTAATTTGTACTTTCTTTCTTTAGACGACGAGGAGGCACTTAACTCCATTATGAAGGACCTGGCAGCCCTGGGTCGCTGCTACACCCAGCACAACAGCCACAAGCCCAAGAACAGAACCTTACTCTACAAACAGGTACGATGTTTTTCGTTATCTATATCCTCGATACCGATATCAACCTGACCACCTTAAATAGGTTTAAATTGTGGCTGGTAAAGGTTTGTAGCTAAAGCTATCATGTTTGGTAAAAGTGGATTTAAATGACAGCTTTCATAGCTGAAAAGTCAAAACCTGAACAGAAACTTCTCCAACCTCTTCTGTAAAATAAAGCTCCAGTATCAGATTGCGATCATCAGTAGCAGGACAGGACAGAGAATAGAAGTGGATTGTTGCATGAATAGTTGAAACTTTTCCTGCTGTAAAACCTTCCTGCTATTGGAGTCCATTGTGATAGACACAAATTCAGTCCGATCAGAGCGGCCATTCTTCAGGACAAAGAATAAACTTACAAACCTTTGACAGCCACCTTTTCAAGCCTACAGCAGGCTAGTATAGATTTTTGGTTTGAGTAGCACATTAAAGCGGTCACACTTTCTGCTCCATTACAGTTTATATTAACCACACACACGCAAAGCACAGCCGTGCCTTTAACATTTACTGTCATTCTGGGTTCACATGCAAAAACACTTCCTTTTTGAGTTTTTGTTGGACTGACAGCTGCTGGCTGCCAAAGTCAGGTGAAGGTTGTGCTGTGACTAAAAGGAGCTTATTCTGAGTCGAACACATATTATACACCGTAATGTGACATGCATTCACATAACAGTTATTGCCATGAGAATCCTAAACTCAAGGAAGCACATTTGATAGCTTGCTATGTGTTGTATGTTTATGCTGCAGGTGCACACAGACAAAGCATATTTGTCTGGTCGAGCTTGTGCCCGGACCGGTCTTTTGTGACAAAGCCGAATCTGGTTTTAATTTAGAAAAATGCCACCTACATTCACAAAGTCATCCCTAACAAAGGTTATGGTGTGGTTTATGGCCTGTCACCTGTTTATGACCACAGTAGATCAGTTTAGAAATCACTATAAATTATACTTTTCCGGCTGCTAATCATTCTCCTCAATGGTTTTAGTGCGCTGAAAACATCAGTGGCCCCAGGATTTCATTCCCCTCAATCACTTTGTGCCTCTTTCTGAAGTAGTTTCCCTGTGCTGTCGTTCCCTCTGTGGAATGATAATTGGCAAATCCTCTTGAAGCACCGATGTTTATGATGAGACATAAACAAACAGTGAGGAGCAGAGAGAGTTTCCGCTGCTCATCTGTGAGTCGGAGTAAACCCCTACTTTTTAACCAATCGCTTCGCACTGATATGATGTCAGGGTTCGTTTATCACCATGACCTCATGCAGACTAGCAGGCTCCTCCAGATTCCTGCTTTTTCTAAAATACAAAACGTAGCTTGTGTCATGCCATCAAGTCAAGTTGAAGGATAATGCCGTCTTTGTATTGCAGAGCAAAAATTCTGCAACAGCAATACAAAACATGTATCATTATAATGCCTTTTGTCACTTAAATTTCCTTGTCCGGCTTATCGCTTTAATTTATTCCGCAGCCCAAATCCCATGTACAACCATGAATCATTTTAACTTTCCACTTCCATAACTCCCCTCTGTTGTTATTTTTCCTCTCAACAGGATTTAAGAGTCAAGCTGGAGCATGAGAGAGAAAAACGGTATGTTGGAACCTCCGTATTGTTTTTTCTACTTCTCTGTCCAAGCCTTAACTCTTCACTTTGGATCTTTTTTGTTATGCTTTGCCATGCCTGGGATTTTGTGTCTAGGGGAAATCACAGTTACATGCCAGAGTAGCATAAAGAGAGGGAAAAATTCCTGCTTTGACATTTAGCCGCGGCCTTGTGTTTCAGACTCGGACGGGCCGTTTGAGAGGGGGGTGGGGGTGGTAAGAGGGCCTGAGAGAGGGAGTGAGCAAAAAGACTGAGTGCCAAGAGTGTCAGTTCAGTGTCCAGTCTTCCAGGCACACCCCAAATTAATACTTCATCTTCTGTGTTTTTTTGTGCTTTCCAACCGTCCCCCACATCCTTCACCCCGCTGCCATCTGTCCTCCCTCGCACCACCAGCTTCAGAGTTACTCAAGAGGCAAAGCATGGTTTCACTCATCCTGTCTGGAGACACTCTTACAAGCAGTTTTTCCACCAAGGTGCCTTACAGTTTGTTTACCATGTCGCGGTCCTTTGAAAGCTAAGGCGCCCAGTATAAATAACAGATCTTTTAAACGGGAGAGGCTTTATTTGGTGCTGAGCTTCATTTTGTCTACGCTGCAGCTCCATCGTTCCATGTATGGATGCTGAGTGAGTCTTTCAGGTTCGGGTCTGGGCCTTTAGCACTGCATCTTGGGAGAGGTCCAAGTTCGTAGACACACTTTGTCCCCATGAAACCTTTATTTAACGACCCACAGTGAGCCTGGAGTTGTCCAAACAACGCCTTAGGAGGTGGGGGTGGGAAATGACAAACACAGAGTGTACTGTTACAGTGGAAAAAACATCAGAGGGAGACTGACCAGAACCTACTAGAATAATTGTCTTGATTCATCAGCATATAGGACCAGGCATTGGTTTGGTGAGGCTTTGATTAGAAACCCACAGGCTCACAAGAGTGAGAAAGAGAAGGGAAGAAGCACGCTCCTTCAGCAGAATACGGCTTCACGTTGGGCCTCTCCGCTTTTTCACAGCCCTAATTGGCTACTGCTGAGGACGAGACGAGTTTTTCATGTTCTTGTCTCCCTGCGTTTCTGCCTCCCTCTGTTTCTCCTTCTCTGACTCTTCTTCTCTTTCTCATGAGCTCCCCTCACACCTCCCTGGAACAACAGCTCACTCTGGAAGACACCATTCACTGATTTTGAAAGCAATTTATTTTTTTATCCATTTTTTTATTTACTCTTTGAATTCACACTCACTCTTTCTCCTCACATTTTTTGTCACTATTTCCATGTTATGCTTGTCCAAACACTGGCTGCTTTCACTTTGATTTAGGGCCTGTTTTGGAAATCAGTAGGATATCCTGATTTTGTTACCGCAAGGGGTAAAATAATCATATCACATTGTAGCATTAGCATGACTAACGTATTTATTTATCTAAAGCTGCTCTAATCAACATTACACACAACATTATATTAACAATCAGTCACATTATTATGTATGTTTATATTATGTACTTTGCAATTCCAGACAGTCCTACAGTGTTTTAGCATCTTTCAGCTCATTGTTTTGGTTTCCTGTTCCACAACAGTACCGCTTTTGTTTATTCTCTTACCAGCAGGCAGCTGTTTTAAGCCAAAAAACAAAAAACCAACCCAGCACCAAACGGCTGACAAGTAAAGTTAGCGATTATCCAGCTAACATAGTGGAGCATTTAGCAGCTAAATAGCCAGACATGTTTTCAGGACTTGGTGGAGAACAAAGATGGAGCTAAAAAACAGTGAACTTAGATTCAACAGGTGGTGAGAAACACGACTCCAAATGAATGCTAATGTTGCTTTGTATCTGCTCGATGTTAGCCATATCAACTTAAAATGTGATAATACGTCAGTGTTGTGTTTACAGTGTGTCTCCACTGCCTCCAAAGTGGCCAAAAAATCACTTTATGCAGGTTTAATGTTTATATTTAGAGATAAGTACATCGACCAATGCCAACTAATATAGCATTTACAGTTTGAGCTAGTTAGCAGCTTCTGTCTTCAGTTGGGCCTTATGCAAATACATATGGCTCAGTAAGATAAAATGCAATACAAAATAATGAACACAAGCAGTACTACATTAAAAGTGCAGTAAAAAACTAATTAAAGGCAACATAACAACATTTCTGAGCCCTCCTAAAAAACAGTTTCAACTTGAGTTACTGAGCAAAAAAACCCTGAACTTGATTAAGTTTGACTAATTAATTCAATTCTTTTCATTCTTGAGAACACAGAAAAAACGTTACTGTACGATCATAATCCAAGTTGCAGCACCAGTGGGAATTACATGTTATATCTGAGCAGCGTCCACAGCACTTGAGGTATTAGGAGTCCCTGAGTCAGGATAACCGTGTTGTCTGTCCACAATGGAATCTAATTGTACGGTCTCTCTTTTCATTGGCAAGCGCTGAAGGTTTGGGGCAGGAAATAGGAGCTGTGTCTCTCTTCCCCCTGGCTCTGCCTCAGGGTCTCCTGCCAGAGAGTAAAGGAACAGAGCCAGACCCTTTTTTTTTCTCTGTGTGTATGTGATTGTGATTGTGTCCATGAGAGAAAGGGAAAGAGAAAGAGAGAGTGAGCTGGAGGATGTGTGAAAGCATTCGTTTTACTCTGCAAATCTGAGTGTCCACATGCTTGCACAGAGGAAGGAAAGCCATATCTTTCGGAGCAGCATCCTCATACCCCCAACCCCCCACCAGATCCCTCCAGCTCTTTATCAGACACATCATCGGCGAGTATAAACAGAGATGGAGAGCGTTTAGCTCTGCTGCTGCTCGCCTCTGATCTGCAAGCCTCCCTATTCCCAGAATCCTCTCCTCAAATGAGGGAACCAATGAGGAGTCATTAAGATAGGCAGAGCTTTGGCCTCTGATGAGGAAATGATGGGCTAAAAACAAGTCCTTTTATCAGGATACTATAAAGAGATAGTTGTCTGCGGATTCTTCAAAAGCAGAGAGTGAGGGCAGACAGACAAGAAGAAATGCCGGAGAGAATCTCTTTCTCTTTCTTCCCTTTTATTTTGTCAGGCTGTCTCCTTTATTTTCCCACTCACAGTCTGTAAATATCTCCACGACTCTGTATCTTTCACTCTGTCACTCTTTAAAAGAGGAGGGAAAGACACACATCCTGCTGCTTTTGCTGCCGCTCCAGATTTTTTCCCCTTTCCTCTCAGGAAGTTTCCCATCTGCCTTTGTGCAGGCTTAGTGGAGAGGCCCAGTGGTGTTGAAACAGTGGCCGATGCACACACTGATTGGGAAGCACACTCATGCATGTAGAATTTTACAAACACGCACGCATCCATATATACACTCATTGCAAACAGTTACTGATAAGCTCGGACTGGGACGGACAGACAGAGTGTACACACTCAGTCATACACGTAGGCATACAGTAGATAAGACATTCGTATGAATCGGGGGGGGGGGGTTACTCTGGCACTGTCTTGTTTTCATTGCATTGATTAATGCCCCTTTAGCATCAGCTCGCTCCTCTCCTTGACCCGGCTGACCTGTCCATTTTTCCTCTTGTTACTATAGAAACCCATAAACCATCATAAAATGGCTTACAAAGAGATTCTCTAATCCGCTCATATGTTAGAAGAAAAGCTAATAAGGCTACAGAGAATAGGAAAGAACTTGATCCGTTGGATCTATAACTCCATTTGTCTGTCTTTTCACCCCATTTTTTTTTGGTGTGTCTTATTGTCTCGAGCATGTAAAAAAACAACTGTAACCAACTTGTAAACTACGAGGTATAGCTGCCAGCCAGCTGATAAAGGCTGGGTTTTAGAGTCTGTGCTTGTGAAGCTAGACACAACACAGGCTTCTATCTCCGACCTCTGACCCTGCTGCCGTTCTCTGCTTCCCAGAATCATCCCGTTCCAGAGGCCACTGAAGATCAAGGAGCTGCTGCAGAAAGTGACCGAGGCCTTTGGTCAGCAGATGGACATGTTCTTCATGGAGAAAGAGGTACAAGAACAACTAGTGGACATTTGTAAGATTTTTAGCTGCTGTTATGAATCTGATTGAGAATGTCATAAGCGATAGAAAACAAGGAAGCAGAAAAAGCCTAATAACGGTGATTTTCAAGGACAAACATCCTTGAAAATCACCGTACATTAACATGATGGCTTTTACATGATAACAACAACATCTACAGTACGTCATGCGTACGCTGATTCTTTTACATGCCATCATTGTGGAACAATGGTGAATTAAAGGTCGCGTTCTGTATGTTTTCTTGTCCTTTCAGTTGTTGCTGCCCCTGAAGACCCAGGAGGACCTGGATCAGGCGGTGCTGACGTTAGGCTGCACCACTGGGACCAACGGGCTGCTCAGGATACTGCTCAAGACCCCCAAGAACAACCATGTGAGTTCCAAGCAACATGCACGTTTTGAAGACATGAAACGGATCATTGGAGAGACTTTAGGACATCAAATTGTCTTCAGATTTTATTGCTCACTGAATGATTTACACAGCAGCATTTCTACACAATAAGCCTTGTCATGCTGTTGTACAAAGATGTATCAATGTGTAAGTGGTAGCCATAACAACCGTGTTGGGAACAGCTGCAGCTTAGTCACTTGCTGACAGTGGGAATTTAGCTGTGTAAAGTCATTCTCTTCTTAAAGCCATGTAACCTTTAAATTAAGTCAGAGCTATTGGAGGAACTTCCCCTGCTGATGATGATGTAACTGCTCAATGATGTAACACTGTCCTCACTTCCTCTCCTGGTCTTGTTGTCTTTCTATTCTCGCTCCTCGTCTCAGTGTGTTTTCTCTTTGCAGTACCTACAGGTGAATAGCAGGGATAAGCAGAGTGAGATGAGGTCGTCACGGTCACTGGGAGATCTGAAGGGCTCCCTGCTCAAGGGCTCGGAGAGGGTGCGCAAACACTCGACAGGTGAGCCGACACGTAGGAGCACACGCAGAAAAATACAATCTCATTGGCTATCGGACGAATCAGAAGGACATTACAGCTCTATCAGGAGTTGTTAAGACCTAATTTCTCCCAGTGTTTATGTCTATAAGGAGGCAAACGGCAGACACTTACAACAAATCCTGCTGATGCCAAGATTTCTTGCCCACTTGCAAAGGCCTCAAGGGTGGCTTGTCATTGTCAATTTATAATACACAGTGATGATACAGTCATAGGAATGTTAATGGCAAGAAGAGAGGCATGCTTTGTCAGAGTGGAAAAATGCAAATTGGAGGTGAAAGTGACAACTGTAACCGCCAGAGAGATGTCAGGTCAAGGCAAGGACAAGTTTCTGCTCTCATACCAAACAGCTCTCCGCCTGCATCATCACCTTGATGAGTAAGCGCTTTGATTCTGAAGATGTCAGGTTAAAAGTGTTGATCCTGATGAGGAGATCACTCCCATATCTGTCAAATATTGAAGCTATATACAGTCGGTTTAGCCGGAAACAGCTAGCCTAGCTCTGTCCAATGGTAACATTCTCACTAATTAATACTCAGTATATCAGTACAGTATATCTTGTTTGTTTATTCTGGCCAAAAACTGGCAAATTGTGCTTTTAAGTGGGGTTATGAGCTGGGTCAGTGTTGGTTTCTGGATTCTTGTCATCACCAAAGGTCCTTTTCTTGTCATGTCACACTCCAACAGACAGTACAATCCTCTGCTGTCTCTCCTGGCTTGTTTGGTAACATAGCGTGAAGGTTTATTTTGCTCTATGAAACACTGAGCTCCCCCCGTCTGAGTCTTTTCACTCTCCTTATATCAGGTCTATCCAGCAGGGTCAACATTTCAGTCCTATCTCTACCCTCAGACACATGCAGAGACGAATACCGCTCACTTCAGTGTTGCATTTGCATTTTTTGCATAGCAGCTGAAAAAACAAAAAAAATAAAAAACATCTTTATGGTCGCTGTCAGCGCCAATCTTTCTCACCTAGCCCCAATAACATCAGCGCTGTCACCATCCCGACTCATATAAATTGTATAGAATTACCCGCTCTGTGTCAATTCCCCTGCCTGCCTCAAGTCAGAGCGGCTGAGGGATAGCAGTGGAGGGAGTGGTGGCAGATGAGAGGTGACAGGAGAGCGGTCACAGTGGATGGTTGAGTGAGGATGTGATGTGAGCCCGGGTAGCTCGATGACGTATAGCAGCAGGGGGAAAGGAGAGGATGGAGACGGGGGGGAAGAGGCAGAAAGAATCTGAACTGTGAAGAAAAAGGTTGTGAGTTTCGCTTTCAGTCAAAAACTAGACTGTTGACCATTTCTATACATCTTGGCACCTATTTGGCCTCTGTGCACTTTTTCAGTATTCCTGTCAGCTCAGCCAGCGACAGTCAGACTTCCAGTTGGTCTTCTTACTGTGTCAAGGACGAGTTCTCAGTCTCCGCTGCAGCTCAGCCAGGGGGAGCGTTTGTCACAGTAATTGAGGTTAGAGGTAGCAGCAGTGTGGTTTAGTAAATCATTTCTCGTAGTCCTGGCACTGTTGAACTTGTACCCATGAATAACACTGTGATGCCGTTTTCTCCCCTCTGCCCCCTCGCTTTCATCTCTTCATCATCTTTCCCTTGTGCTCCCTCATTTTCTTCCGGCCCTCATCACTCAATTTCTCCTTTTTATTTGTACTGATTTTACATTTCTCCTCTGTCTTTGCACTTCATTCTTTCATCTCCCCTCTATCCTTACTCGCTTCCCCCTGTTTTTTCTCCTCGCTCCACTTTTTTCGAACTGTCCCAGGTTCACTGCACACAGGTCGGACGTCCCCGCCTCCTGGCAGTGTTCCAGAGGAGCAGCAGCAGATTGCTCGCCAGGGCTCCTACACCAGCATCCACAGTGAAGGGGAGTTCATCCCAGAGACCCACGACCAGAATGTAAGAGCATATCCAGAGGAAAACGACTGTATATGAGGACTATTTAAAACACTCCTTTATGATTGGCGGGAGGTGTGGTTTAATGTTAAATTCTATGTAAAATGTTCATCTAATGAGTACATCATATACTAATTTGGCTTTTTAAAGATAGGGATGGAGACATTTGTAACACAAAGGTCTGACTTTTGGACTAAATTGAGGGAATACCATTCCACTTTGTAGCGACTTGCATCCATCTTGTCCGTTATTTTTAACAGGGACATCTCAAGAGAGTCATGCTTGTCGTGGCCACTTAGAGAGTATTATTGAACGTTAAGTAGTGTTAGTCCAGACAGTTTCAGTATCAACATGCTGAGACTTTAGCAATCCCAGTTCATGCACAGGAATGGTTAACATTGGCTTCATGACCCTCTAATTTGGCTCTTTTTTAAAAATGCTTGTCCAGCAACCATGCAAGATAATTTACTCTGAAATCTGTTTAGTCTTGTCTTTCGCTCTTTGCCTCTCTTGAGCTCAGTTAAGGGAATATTGCTTTACCTATAGTGCATCTTTGCCTCTGTGTTGTCCATTATTTCTAAAGGGAACACTTAAAGAGTGGCCTTTATTCGACTGTTAAGAACACGTTTTTCAGTCCATATCGTATTGTTGTTTCCCATCAATTTTTATTGTGTATAGCAGAACAAATGGGACAGTTATTTCGTCCTCAAAAACCAAGATAAATCATCTTTCTAGAAAACAATCAGAAACAGATATCCTTGGATATTATGTGAAATCCTTTATTTGCAGCTTTTGAAGAGACCTGTCTAAGACACACAGTACTCCTTCAAATTCTCATATTGCGTTATACTCTCAATCTCTGAACTGCTTTACATTCTCTCCCACATGATTGCATGCTCTGTGACCCTCGATTCACCTGTGTTATTATATCTGTCAGATGCTGGATCCCTTTGGGAGTGCAGACAACTCACTGTCGAGCAGCTGTCAATCAATAGATCAAGCACTGGACAGGTGAGTCATCATGCAATGTGTGATTTATGACCCATGTCTGTGTGGATTTATGTTTATGATGTGCACATTCAGATTGCAGACAGCATTAGTTGCAGAGATTTGGTTTGTATCACAGTGTCCGTGCCTGTTAACACACACACAGAAGCAACCAGAGGCTCTCAGTAAAGTCTGTAAATGGTGTTAAAGGCCAGTAGAGCTTCCTGACCCTGCCTGAGCTGCCTGTGTGAGAAAAGGAATCGGGTCGCTTTGCTGTTGCCATGGCGACAAAACTCTTATCTGGACGCCTGGATTCCTCTGTTATCATGAGAGAGAGGGAGGAGAAACAGAGAGTGAGTGGGAGACGTAAAAGTGTAAAGCAAGAACGAGCTGGATGAGAGGCAAAACTGAGCCAGAAAATGAAAAGTGGTGAAAGAGTGAGAGTGGAGTGGAAGTGCTGGGCTGAAGAGCGAAAAAGACTGAATGTAAATCAAAGGGGAAAAGAAAAGTGAGCAAGAGTGAGGTTGAGAGAGAGAGAGAGAGAGAGAGAGAGAGAGAGGACGGAAACAGCTCTACCTGCACGAGGCTTATCTGGGCTCCAGGCTGCAGAACAATGGCAGGAAACGAGTGCATGGAACTTTTCCCTTCGAGCGGGCATGCGTGCCCCTTATCCAGGGTTCTGGCCCGCGCCGCCCTGTGGTCAAGATAGACGTCACTCTCTGTCGGGTCGTCAGGGCTGGCCGCAGAAAGGCTAGGGAGGGTGGGAAGTGGGGGGCGGGAGGGGAGGTGTACATCGCCACATTTAATGACAGAAAAGCTCAAGTTCAGCAATTTAAGCACCACAAACTTCACTTTCACTTTCTTATTGTTAATGCAGCTTATCTTTTTCTAATTCAGCACATTGTTGTTTAAAATCAATTGTGACTGACAGCAAAGTAGTTTGAACGCAAAAGTCATTTTGAGGCCCTTTGTGCTGCTTTACAGTCGAGGCTGTTGTGAAGTTTCGGGCCAGCAGCTGTAGCCAGACTCTGTTTGAAGATAAGCAGAAATTACTGACTGAAACAGCACACCATTTTTCAACTTTTTCCCCCCTGTTCTCTTGTCATTTCAGTCCTCCTTTCACGCAGAACAACCGTGACAATAATTACCTGAACCTCAACTATGAATACAAAGGTAAGGAGGGGTAGAAATCTGCAGCACCCCTTTTGCTGTTGAGTTAATTCTCAACTCAAACACTACAGAAAGATAAAGAGAGGTGCAAAAAGCTTGTTCATTATTAGAAGGTTCTGTCTGTTACTTTTGTTTTTGTTTCTGCTGTGATTATTGCGCCACGAGCAGTTTCACAGATAAAGAACATAAGCTCTGTTCATGTAGCTCCTGATTGCCTAAAAATGTTCCCCGTTGCAAATTCCCTCTTGAGATTACTAATGAGGAGGGAGATGATATTATTTGATGGTTTTATCTGGGAGTAAATACTTAAAATGAGGAATGGGTTCTTGGGAAGATATTTAATATCTTGGTTGTATTTCTTGTGTCTCAGGAGAAGATGAAGAGTGTGATGGCGTCATAACTCTGTTTTATCTTCCACACAGTCTCCCGTGTGCACCCTTTGTCCTTCTCCTTTCCCCTTATTTTGTCTCTCGAACCATCTCCCCTCCTCGTCGGCCCTTTTTTTTTAAACTCCGGTTCTTAATAGACATTGCTGCTTTCCTGTCTTTTCATGATCACTTCCCTCCTCTTGATGCCCCCCCTTTACTTGTCTAGTCCTTGTCCCTCGGCTCCCTGTCTGTCCCTTTTCCTTCAGAACGCAGATCAAATAGAGCAGGATGACAGATAACGCCACACTAATCCTCATGAACAGAGGAACCACCGCGGCTCCCCCAATCTGGTCATTCCTTTTTCCCCTGCACCCACCCCCTGGTGCTGTAAATTAAAAAAAAGGGAGTGCTGCACATTGTGTACTCAGACTGGGAGTATGGGAGCTTCATATAGCTGCAGCAGTACTTGAAGCCTTGGGCACGCATGCATCCACGTGTCTGCACACACATGCACGCTCTCCCCTCCCCAGATGTAAAGCTGTGTGGCCCTTCCTGCTGAGGGCTACAGTATTTGTTTACCATTCCCTGTGAGTAGATTTTTCCTCTCCATTCCGCGCTGCCAAACACAAAAAATAACTCCCGTCTCCATGGGATACGGCCACAAAAACAGCGCGAGGGGAGGCAGTCATCTGACTGAACAGCTGCTTTCAATTGCAAGTGGCTCCGCTGCTCTCTATTCTGTGTGTGTGTGTGTGTGTGTGTGTGAGAGAGAGAGTGAGTGTCAGCGCTCGCCTGCGTCAGCAGTGCTCCCCACCTGCTTTTAGTTACTGCTCCAGTGGGTTCAGAGCTAAGGCTAAGCTAGCACACATGAGCTGTTTTCACTTTCTCTCTTGGCTGCGGTGAGGCGACACAACAGCTCCGTTACATGTGTGAAAAGCTTCTTCCATTCCGCTGATTTTGAACCTGACTTTGATTTGACATGCCGAGGCGAGCAAAAGCAATGTAGCGTCTGATCACTTCAAATGTGAAACTGTGTCATCTTTATTAGGCATTCAGTATGTGTGTGTGTGACTAGCTCCAATCAATTAGGCATGCATTAGTGAACTTGAGACATGAATAAACACAAAAGTGTAAATTGAGAATTCAGTTGTAATGTGAGACTAGTTGTTGAGGCTTCAATGACCAACTAACTGACAGCTCTGCCTCATTGCTCCCTCCGCAGGTCGCCATGGGAAAGGAGGGACTTTCCCTCGCCAGTTCCAGTTGCCCAATCGCAGCAAGGATTACGGAGACCGTAAGAAACCAGCTTTTCTAGAACAATAACAACACCACTATTACTGCACAGATTAAACAGATACGTTACTATGTGCACAGGACAACACAGACAGATTCACACACCACTACCAGACATCTTTACAATGCCTCCTCCTCATATTTTTACCACTTTTCCAGATAAAATATTTTTTAATATTGTTTGTTCTCTGGGTAGATTTGGTACATGAAGTGCTGGCTTGCTGTTCCAGGCAGCTGCTAGTAATTGCTTACTCAGAGGGCTAACCTTGGCTAGCAATGATTTACGTTTCCCTGCGGTGAACCCGAACTTGTATAAAAACACAGCGCCCTGCTTCCTGTCTGAGGGGAAGTGGGACAGAGTGGCGAGAGGCATTCTGCTCTGGCTGGCCCTAAAAGTCTTGGCCAAGAGCTCGCTTTCTGTGAACACCTGTAAATTAAAGTAGTGTGTGAAAATCATTCACAGAACAAACAAAAGATGCAGTGGCCTGTGAGTTTGTAAAGTCATTAATATGTCTATATATTATTTTTTTTATGTGTGTTTTCAGGTCGCAGGACACTTCCGCGCAGCTTCATGCCGCAGGAGAACCTGTTTCAGCTGGTTCCTTCCAGTCGCACTCGCAGTTATAATGGAGACAGTACGCTGCAGTACAGCGACCTGCGCTCACTGGGCCGCACCGCTGACAAAAGCTGCCAGCGCGGTACAGCCAAGTGTAAGTAGAGTCCTTCAAATGAAGGGACAGACAAACACTAAAGGAACTTTTCTCCCCAAACATATAAACAGTCTTATGTAAACTGAATTTCTGGGCCTTTGTTGTTGATTAGTGTTGTATGTGTCTGGTTCCTGTGGATAATGAGACAAATAAACCCTCACTGATAACCCAGACATGAATGAAGAAAGTTCAGACATGTTTTCTTGTGCTTGTCAAGAGTAGGGCCGGGTTCAAACCTAAGTACTTTTAAGCGCTGTAACCTCATCGTGTATATGCGTATGTACGACCAAATGTCTCCTGTATTTATTGTGTGTCTCTATGATTTCACTATGTGGACTTAAAAAAACAAATTCATAGTCTTGTTTGCTAATTCTTTGATCGGATAATTTATATAATAAAAAATTTAGCTTTTTTGTGGATACAGTGGATACATAAACAGAGTGAATTGTTGAAGCAGAAAAAAGTCAAACACAGTGGAGTTACAAGAATTTTAAATGTGTTCTGCCATTGTGAATAGAGACAAAACAAGGATAATGTCTTTTCCAGTAAATACTCTATGGCTGTCAAACATGTTTTAACTCTTCGTAGCAAGTAGTAGAGGGACAGTAATACTGTATGTCACATCAGGCAGAATTTCCCTCTCATCATCCATGTCACAGTATCACATCTGTCCTCATTCAGTCCACGTTGGCCAGAAATTGTCATTGATATAAAACGAAAGTTGGCCTCAGCAGTCTGTGGTTGACGTGTCAGCCTCCTCTGTCCTTCTCACCCACACACGACCGAGCTGTCTAACCCAGCCGCAAAGAGGCTTGTTAATAGCAAAACAAAGTCTCAGAGTCTGGGCCTGTGAAGATGAGAATTGTTGAGATGCTCTCTGTAGGTTTTGTAGACCCTCTGTGGGCTGAGCGTGATTTGACTCAGATATCAGGGGGTTTCTCCCATTTGAGAGGGTCTGCGGTGAGAGTAATTTAAAGCTCCTGCGGTGGATTTGACGTCTGGTCTTGGTGATGTAGTGTGAGCGTTGCAGTCGGGTTTTGTGGTAGATGCTTCAGTGTTAGTGTTTGCTCAAGTCAGTAAATCAGTGTCTGCCTCTGGGGGCTTTGTAGGAAAATGAATTATTGCTGGGTTTTCATCATCTGGTGTATTGTTTCTGCAGCGCCACGGGCTCCAGTCAACTGGCGACAAGGAAAGCTCCTGGGGCGCGGGGCGTTCGGCGAGGTCTACCTCTGTTATGACGCCGACACAGGCCGCGAGCTGGCCGCCAAGCAGGTGCCCTTTGATACAGACTGTCAAGAAACCAGCAAGGTGAGAGAGAACACGATAAGTCACTGGCTGCATGTATTTTAGAGCACAAGACTCAGTGATTTTATAATCTGTGATTAAAGATGCTATTAAACATGCTTCTTTCTGCAGGAGGTGAACGCTTTGGAGTGCGAGATTCAGCTGCTGAAGAACCTGCGTCATGAGCGGATTGTTCAGTACTACGGTTGTCTTCGGGACCTCGAACAGAAGAAACTCACAATTTTTGTTGAGTTTATGCCCGGGGTATGTATTCTGCAGGGCATTTCATTTGAATATATTTAAACTTTTATAAGTCACATGTAGTACAACGGCGAGGCAACAGCCCTTAATGTTTCCCTGAGATACAATAACGAATAACGTCTGAGGATGTCGTATTTTGAGTTGTTTTTGGCTGTAGAGATAGGAGCACAGACGTTCTAACACAAACATCAAATCAAACCCGTACCGGCCACATCTGCTAAAAAACAATTTTAAAATGTCACAAGCTGTCAACAAACATGTCCTCAGTGGTTGATGTCAGCAGAACAGCTCAGTTTATGAGATCATTTTCTCACTAAATGAGCGTCTTAATGAGCTGCTGTCGCCTGTGGACCCCGTCTCTGCGCCTGTTTTTAATATTTCCTGGCCTTTTTTTTTTTCTCTGAGTGGCATTGAGCGTCTTAGTCACACATTGCCTGGAACTTGGAAATGTTTATGTTTTGCTGGAGTTTTGCTGGCAGAGGAAAGAGAGGAGGTGACAAAGCCAAGTTTGTGTGTGTGACTGGTCGGCACGGCTGCACCGCTGTGGCCGACCGATAACAGCCGCCCACTGTGAAGGGGAGGGGGGAAGTGTCCCTCTGAGAACCAGAGAGCTGTTGAGGTGTCCTGTTGACATATGAAATTGAAGAGGGAGAGGGGTTTTGTTTTTACTGTGCGAGGCCAAAACTGCATCTAAGGTGTTGCTGGATCAGGTCTTTGCTCCTGTCATTGTCCTTGTGAGGAACTGAAAACAGGAAATGAAAGGAAATGCAGGACATTGAAGGTGTTTAGACAAAAAAAATCCAGCAGATTTCTTTCGCCACATTGTATGTTTATATACTTGGGTTTTTGTGCTTAAAAATTGGCTCAGAGGCTGCTTTCACAATAAAACAAAAGAAATCCGCTTCAGCTGGAAAAGTTGTTGCAAGTGCGCAGCCTTCAAATCATTGTTATATCAGACACTGAACCATTTTATATTCACCATACACATCCTTCCAAAACAGAGCTTCTATAATTTTATACACTGCAGCTGTGACAATAATAATAGTTAACACTACAGCCAATATAAAGATCATAAATGCTTTTCTCAGCCATTCTAAGTTCCACTAATTCTTTCACCATCCCTCCAGGGCTCAATAAAGGACCAGCTGAAAGCCTATGGGGCCCTGACGGAGAAGGTGACGAGGAGATACACCAGACAGATCCTCCAAGGAGTCTCCTACCTGCACAGCAACATGATTGTACACAGAGACATCAAAGGTAACAGAAAAAACGAGCTAGCAAAGGTCAGGATAGGATTTTAATTGGATTTGTAACCAGTGAACACCCACGCTTGAGACCTGGACTTAGCTGACAGCGTGTAAACGGCAAATCTTTATAGTTCATATTGCAGCAACTGTTGCTGAGAACAGCACCGATCCATTCATTTTATTCTGGTTGACATTTACTCATTTGGTTATTCACCGTCTACTGAAGGAGCCCGGAAAAAAAAGAAGTGCTATTTTGAACTCCCCTTATGAGATATATTAGGCTTCATGCTGGTGAAATCGGCCAGGCTAAAAATGTTCAACACCGGATGGAAAGGCTTTAGTTTGGCTGCCCGCAGCTTTGGGAGTCACTGCTTCGTTCAGCGGCAGCCAAGAAGAGGGAAATATACCGTCTGGTGGGGAAAAAAGATAGTGGGTCTCATAGGACACGCGCTCTATGAGGGTATATGTGGGTGGGATTTTCCACTTCCAAATGCTCTTCATGTGTAATATACGGTGTGTGCTCATCTCACCACACAAGAGCTCTTCTGTGTGCAGTAAAAAGAGTTGTCAGCACATGCGGTTTTCGGATAGAGAGCTTGGCATCGCAGCCGTGACATTAGACTATAAAGTTTTGGTGAATTTAACGTTCTAAGGAGCCAAATAAATGGAGTAGATTTAGTCTCACATCCTCCCAACACATCTACAGTGGAAAGGAATTAAAGAAGTGAGAAGGTAAGAGGAAAGGTCACAGGTTTAGTCTCTCAGTCTCTTCTCTGCGAGCCCTCCATCCTTCAGTGGGTGTGGAGAGTGAGTGGCGAGTGGTGTACATTAGTCATTGATCAAACAACTGGAGCGCCTGAAGGAAATGGGATAGACACAGCTACAAGTCGGAAAATGACTAAAGGAGGAGGGAAAAGGGTGCTGAGGTTAGGTCCACGTGGAGCAGAAAGTTGATTAAATATTTTATTTTCTGATTTGTGCAGTCCAAAGTTCCCGAAGGGGAGAAAACATCAGTGTTTGTAGAGTTTAGTGCACTGCACTGCAAGGTATACTGTGACATTTTAAAAATAAACCTACTGTTCCATCATCACAACCATAGGAAATGTTTACCTTTCCCCTTAGGTTCTTCACTCAGGTTGTGGCACAGGAAACCATGCTGTAATGGCCGACTACATTAACTGAACCTCCAAACTTTTCAACGTATCCCTTGAAGGATATCGACAGTCCTCGGGAGACTCTGAATAACTCTGAGCTCATTTTGTTTTCATTCCACCAGGTGCTAACATCCTGAGAGACTCATCAGGGAACGTGAAGCTGGGCGACTTTGGAGCCAGCAAACGTATCCAGACCATCTGCATGTCTGGTACAGGAATCAAGTCCGTCACTGGCACCCCCTACTGGATGAGCCCAGAAGTCATCAATGGGGAGGGATATGGCCGCAAAGCTGATGTATGGTAAGAATAACATCAGATGGAACTGTAATGTGGCCCAAAGGGGAGACATTTATTACAGGCACAAAAATACACTGAAAAAGCAATAAAGTTACCTCAGTACATGGGTGGTAAACCGATAAATTGTTGAAACAATTGAGTTGGTGGTATGTACTGTATGTAACCAAAGTCTGGTGACACTTCAGACATGTTAAGTGTACTGTAGCTCGAAGACATAAGACCAGTTACAGCTGTCAGATACATACAGTATAGCAGAATCTTACATTTTGATTACAAAACAGAAATACATGGCAGGTGTGGATCACCCGTAAAATATAATTTAATCCAATGCAGTAGCCCTGCAGTAAATACTATATTTGTCAAGCTTATAATGTTATTGTTGTGAGATTTGACTGTATAAAAGTATTTAACCTCTCACAACCCTCTGTTCTGCACCTGGGGCACTAGCACAATGCCACTGCCATTACTATGAAGAGTAAATTGGACATGACGATGTAATACATGTGTTGATAGATTAGACTGTCTTCTTTTCGTTATTGTGCAGGTACAACGCATGTAGCAATAAAAGTTCAATTCAGCAAGTATACTCTATTACTGGGAAATAAAACCAGTTACAGCAGACAAATACATAGCAGCCACCAGGACATTAATGCTATTACGTTTGGATTACACAGCAGAAATACTGACTATATCAGTATGAACACCAGATAAATATAATGCAATCCAAAGCAATAGCCCTGCAGTAAATATTACATTTCGTTACTGTCCAATGAAAACCATGTATCTCTAAAACATCAACATTTCATAAAAATGCCTTTTTTTTTAAAAGATTTAATCACATTACTTTTTGGGATTTCTTTTAGCCTAAAACATTTTGGGATTGTAGTATGACAAACTAATCTTAACTCCAGGTTTAAAGCAGTGCTTTAACTGTACCCCTCACATTTCTACCTTTGGGATGCTAACGCTACGTAAAATTATTATAGACTGCTTCTGTTATGACAGATTTAATGAATATAAACATGTAATATCATTATATTGACATATTAAAATTATTATCTTTTCATATTACATGGCCATCTTCTGTTGTTTAAATTAAAATATGGTGTCTCCCTACATTCGAAGGGCATACAACAATGTAATAAATTACTGAAAACTTTATCAGAATCAGAAATACTTTAATAATCCCAGGGGGAAATTACTTACTTTATTTCCAAATTTATATTGAGGATACAAAAATAAAAAAAAGTACCTTTGTTTTCATTTAGGCGAGTGTTAAAGGGTCAACTCTTATTTTTGAGATCATAATTGGTGTTGCTGTTGCACTGAATTGTTTTGTACAAATAAATACATATAACTATAACTCACTACTAATATTTGATGCCAATATGATTAAATCAGATTTTCTGACAATCAACCAACTCTTCTGGATCTCATTTGTCCTCAGGAGTGTCGCCTGCACCGTTGTGGAGATGTTGACCCAGAAACCTCCGTGGGCCGAGTACGAGGCCATGGCAGCCATTTTTAAGATTGCCACCCAGCCTACGAAGCCCATGCTTCCAGAGGGTGTGTCCGAAGCAGGCAGGGACTTCCTGCGGCAGGTGTTTGTGGAGGAGAAGTGGCGGCCCACTGCAGACGTTCTGCTCAGCCACCCGTTCGTCCAGGGCAGCTTCTGAGGCCCGTGGAACCCCCTCCCCTCCCCTGCCTGCGAGGCCTCCGCGGGCCCCGGCGCCTCCCCTCCTCTCCGGCCCGCACCCGTCCCCAGGGCCCAGCATCACTCCAACTTCCTGCCCTGTCATCTATCACCAGTGTCTGCCTTGGCAGGACCCCTGCATCTCTCACCAACTAGCTCAACCCGGATTTTTCACAGAGAGGCCAGGTTGATTGTGTCAGACCTCCAGAGTCCTCCGAGGCAACGCAGTGTTGTTCCCCCCGGAGGGGACTGACGAGAAAGCACTTAGCAGTCTCGCAAGCTAAAGACTGCTGTCCTTTAACAAGAGCAGGAAATGTGACCCAAGTTAGAGAGCAGTGACGTCTCAAGCTTTCTGGGTCTTTACACTCATTTACTGCCGCAGAACAGTGTCCAGGTTCAGCCCGACGCTATGTAATCCTGACCGACTGGTGACATTGATCACATGCGACAGTACTGTAAGTTAGTCATCAGTTAGCTGTGAGGGAAGTTAAGATGGTAAAATATTTTTATATGATCGACAATAACACATACAAAGTCATCCTAGCAAATGAGTTTTCTACTGTCACCTGAAAAAAAATGTAAATGTATTTTCGTCAACGCCTTACAATAAGAATTTGTAAGTAAGAATGTCTTTTTTTAAAAACATCTTAGAGGGTTGCATTTCCCTACTTCCATAGCACTCACAAGCCCATTTAGAAGGATTGTCAACATTGCACTTTTGATATCATGCATTGAAACATTACCAACATGCAGGATAATCAACTGAGGAGATATTTTTCTATCTGAAGCATTTTTTTTTTTTTTTATATAACTTCATAAGGAGAGTCGTGTAGTTTGTTTCCGATGTAAAGAAGAAAAAAAAAAGAACCAAACTTTTGCATAAGTGTGCAATGACTATTAAGCAATACCAACACTACTGTCTGTGACATCCATTCCAGCTTCCCATGCAGTGAGCCTTGGGTCCACAGGAAATAAAAAGAAGTGGCCAAAGAAAAGTTGCAGAGACAGAAACGTTCAACAACTTTAAGGCTAAAGTTAATGTGCAGTATTAGTCACGTTGAATTGTTTTGTCACCTCAGAGCCCTATAGCCTTTTCTATGTAATGGCAGCTTCGTGCACAGTAGACGGCACAGACCAAATCAGATGCATCGACGTCACATTGTGTTGGAATGAAAAGCGTTATGGAATTAGATAGAAGTAAGCGTCTCATTTACGTTTTTTTTTTTGTTGTCGTTGTATGGATCCAGTCACCCCATGCCTTTACTTTGCTTCCCACACTATATGAATGGGTCACTTAATGACCACTTGACAGCACACCTTGCTCCGTGTAACGTCACGTGCATAATATTACGAGTCGCCATAAGAAAAAGGATCAAGTTGGACGGCGTTAAATGCTGTATTCTTATAAAGTGGAGATGAAACTTTAACTGGGGAGAATGATGTTGGAGGTGTAGTGGCTAGCTGTAATACAGTGGCACTTAAAGAATGATCAAATCTTTTTTTTGACCCTTGTTAGTGCCTTATCTGAATCTGCTTGTAAACACAAATGTTCACTGCCAAAGCGGAAAGCTTCCTAATAAGGTGAGCAGCTGTTCAGTAGAGAGCACACACAGGATTTGCTGAAGTTCTTTTTATATGGAAAAAAAAAAAGATTATACTGTAAATACATATTGTTCTGCACTTTTGTATGAAATTTCTTTACATTATATACAAATCTATTTGATGAAATAGCTACGTTATACAGTAGATTGTACTGTGATTTAGACAGGAGTATGTATGATTGTCTCTGAGAGCTGGTAGGCAGTATGAAAAAGGCTGGGAGGCTTTTGATTGGGACAGAGTTTGTTTTGTCTTAATGACAAAGCCTTGAAACATGAAATGTATCAAGTCATTGATCTTTTGTACATTTAACTTAATAAATCCAAGGTCTAAGACTATTTGCCTGTGTGATTTTATTGTGTTGTGTTTTTATCACATTTCCCCAGACTGTTATGAAAAGATCACTTTAGCACCTCTTTCTGTTTTATTCACTTTTTGATTTTATTTTCTTCTGTGACGCTAACCTCTATTTTTGTACTACATTATGTAATTTATATGCTATTACAAAATACAACCCATCTTTTTAATTTAACATTTTCACTCCATTAACAAAAAATAATCATCATTCTGTCATTTTGTAAATGTATTTAATGATTTCCCTCTCACAAAACATAATTCCTTTCTTTTTTTAGTTCATATTTTCTTTATTTATGTACAACTCACAATGAGGACTAAGAGGGAGAACATACCACATATAAGTGTGTAATTATTATTTTATGTTAAGTCATAATCAAACTTATTGCATGTGTTGTATCCTTATCCTTTCTTTTTGTGTTTAGTTTCAGAATACTGTACTTGATTAATAGATTAGGTTTATATTTACACTCACTGGCCACTTTATTAGGAACACTTTAATTCTACTTTTGTTTAATAACATGATTAAAGTGCAATACACATATTCTGTCATTCTTTGTAATACTTTATAACTTCTATAATTCTACAATCTTTAAAAACTCACTACTATTACTCGTTTAATTTCTGTCAGTCATACTGTGGCATACATTTACTTTGTATATATTAGCATATACTGTATATAAGTTATAACTATAAGGTATAGGCTCTTATTATATTTCCATTTTTATGTTCTACTTATATCTGTATACATTTCTATTCTATATATAGCGTTAGATATTGTAATATAAGTATAATTTCTATTCTTTAACATTGTGTGAGCACCTTGAACAACTAACAAACTAATTTGATCAATGAAGTGTTTCTGATTCTTTACTAAACTTAGACTATAAAAACAGTTTTGTTGCCAGAAAGGTGATAATTATATTTTCTATTTACTGTTAAGGTCGTGCAGCATTAGACTGAAATGTATTATAATATTGTTAATATGAAACTGTGTATATACGCTTTATAGCTTTATAGCTTGAGGCAGCTGCAGGTTACAAAACCTGATGTTTTGTAACGTGTCGTAAAACGTGACGGTCTCACTCGCAGCAGCCTGAGGAGCGACAGACCGGTGAAGGACCCAGCTGTCTGACACAGACCACTGTCGGTATATCTGATACAACTACTGCTGTATAGCTATAAGTTACATTATGTCTACTTCCCGTACAATCATATGTTTACTAAGAAACGACCTACGTCTCCACGACAACGAGGTAAGAATCTGTCCTCCCGAGGCCATACGGTTATAAAATCCGGTATTATTTAACTTAAGAGCACCGATTTAAACTTACAAGTAAACGTGTTTGTTTGACGTTGTGTGACATTTGCTTTCAGCATGCCATTACGAGCATTTATTGATCTTGTTATGTATGAAGCGTGTTTGCTATTAGCATCAAGCTACTTTTGTTTTGCAGTGCATAACTATTACTTCCGGTTTTTTTCCGTGACAAGTTAAATTGGGGGTAAAAAGACCATTTGAATTCGTCACAAAAACTGCACAAATTATATGTCAAAATATTCACTTTTTTAAAGTCTACCTTTGTCAAACAAAAACTGCTGGTTTTTAGTCAACCATACTGTAGAATAGTCACAGCAACACGTACGGCTTCCGGTTGAGTTCTTCAAAATAAGAGACGGGATTTTCCTAATAGAATTCTAGCAAAGGAAATGCATTTGCTTATTTTAGGTGTCAAATTTCCCAGTCAAATAAGTCTAGCTAAGAAATCCTTTATGTGTAAAGCCCCCTCTGACTGAAATAATATACCAGTAATTTTCGGCCTATATCATTTTATGACCTGCTTAAAAATATAATAATATGTAATGTCTTCTTATTTTAGGGTCAGCTGTGAAGTGTTCTTAATGACAGTAGCACATGCCCATAATACCCTTTTTTAAAATAATTTTGTTATGTCATGTTTTGTAACTCTATTACCTAATGTGTTCACTGACATTAATACTACCTCTCCTACTCTGTGATTGAGTGATCCATGTTCAGGCTCTGTTTGAAGTATGAACTGATCATGTTTTGGTATTTAATGTTTTTGTTTTGTCTCTGTGTGTTATTATTTGTTTTCATCAAATGTTGGTTAAATTGTATACTGAGGACCCCCTTGTAAACAAGATGGTACATCTCAAGGGGTTAATCCTAATATAGAATTTCCATTTAAGGTTATCTGTCTTCAACACTAGCTGCCATAGTAGTGCACTTAAATCGGCCATATTTGTAGTTCTAAAAATGTTTGCTCATAGAATCGAATTGACTAAACATTTTGTTTGCTGCCACTGTAATGATGCTGTGATGATCACTTTTGCTAAGAGATGATGGTACGACCCCCACTTTGTACTCTGTACGTGCAGCTTTTCCACTGGGCGGAAAGAAATGCAGAGTACATTGTCCCACTGTACTGCTTCGACCCCAGACATTATGTGGGAACGTACAACTACAACCTACCAAAGACTGGGCCTTTCCGCCTGCGCTTCTTACTGGACAGTATCAGGGACCTCAGAAACACGTTGCTCAACAAGGGCAGGTAACTAAACTGTTGTCTTCCTTCATATAACCCCAATTTATGTATTCTACTGCTTTATTTACATTGCTGACTTTCTCCACTGTCTCTGTTATAGCACTGAAGAACAGTAATCTGTTTACAAGGTTAAAAAGTTACCCCAAACTTATGTATCATGTTATTGTTACACATACACAAGGATTTAACTTAAACACATACAACAGGGGTCAGGACACATCTGGCCTATAGGGTTATGTTTACATTAACATGAGTGCTGTTCCCATCTTTTTTTATGGTCAGCGCAGGGGGAAGTTACTAGCTCTCTACCCAGGATGCAGCTTGCCTGGCATGGTGTTAACTGGGACTTCTTTTTGTGTGTGTGTGTGTGTGTGTGTGTGTTTGTGACAGCAACCTCGTGGTGAGACAGGGAAAACCAGAGGAGGTAGTTGCTGACCTCATTAAGCAACTGGGGTCTGTCAGCACTGTGGCTTTCCATGAAGAGGTAGTTTTAAACTTCTTTTTCTTACTGTAACCGTCACAACTTTTTGACATTGTTTGGGGATTTTCACTTTCATGCGTTCGTGTTCCAGGTAACTTCGGAAGAACTGAATGTGGAGAAAGGGGTGAAGGATGTCTGTGCGCAGATGAAAGTCAAAGTTCACACCTGCTGGGGGTCTACACTGTACCACAGGGATGATCTTCCATTTCACCACATATCCAGGTGAGAGAGGATATGGCTTGTTTGGGACAAAGCGTGCTAGTTCTGCATAACGTCCTGTTTTTGATTCTGGCAGTTATATGAGAGATGTAGATTAAGGATGTCTTGTAACATTTCCCTCCTCGCTTGTTAGGCTGCCCGACGTGTACACCCAGTTCAGGAAGGCAGTGGAGACCCAGAGCAGGGTTAGGCCTGTGTTCCCAACCCCTGAGCAGCTAAAGCCTCTCCCTTCAGGGCTGGAGGAAGGAGCTATTCCTACAGCAGAGGACCTGCAACAGACAGGTGTGTTTGTCTGCTGGATCCAAATGGTTTAATTCATACAGTATATCTTACGCTTTGAGTGTAAAGGTGATAAAACCATGGCTGTAACAATATCATTTTATTTAATGTGCTTATTTAATGAACTTGTGGAAATGTCTCTACATGCTGATGGCAAATAGGAAGTGCAATTTTATGCATCTCTATTGAGTAAATCCACACTGCTGCTGCTCTCAGAATTCAATAAGCAAACTGCTGAGCATAGATTTCCTTATTAAGTGCCAGCAAACGACCAGACAGACTCCACTTCCATGTATATGATTAAGCTTTAATGATTCAGTGTCTTAATGTGCATCGGGGAGTGTTCAGCATGTATGCAATCAGTCTGATGTTTGTTTTATTCTTACAGAGCCTTTGACTGATCCTCGCTCAGCCTTCCCGTGCAGCGGTGGCGAAAGTCAGGCTCTGGCGAGACTCAAACACTATTTCTGGGACACTGTGAGTACAACCTCCATTACAAAACGGTACTAGCTGCTGTTTATAAAATGGCCAGAAACTCATATGGCGATGTATTATCTACTATGTACTGTAGGTGTAATAAATATATATGCGGTCTGCTTTGTAGGACGCAGTTGCAACTTACAAGGAGACTCGTAATGGCTTGATAGGTGTGGATTATTCCACTAAATTTGCACCGTGGTGAGTGTTATTGTATCATTTCCTCTGCTAGTGAATGCCTACTAGAGTTTAATGTTCCATGTAAGTAAGTCCTATAAATATATCGCTAACTGTGCTGCGCTGGCATCCTGCAGGCTGGCAATGGGTTGCATTTCACCCAGGTATATTTATCATCAGATCAAGCAGTACGAGAAGGAGCGAACAGCCAATCAGAGCACATACTGGTGAGTTGGAGATGACTGTAATAAATAAATGAGTGAGATATAAAACAATCTATACTGTATAATAGTGCTATAATGGTAAACTGTGTACAAAAGCTCTATGAAGTTGATGATATGAAGCTAGAATGTGTCAAAATCTGTTTGTAAACTGGAAAAATTATAATTTTTAATGTTAAATATAATATATAATAATACATAAATAAAATATGTTCTACCCTATTTGTCTGACGATCTTCACTCCTGTCTTTCAGGGTCATTTTTGAACTTTTGTGGAGGGATTACTTCAAGTTTGTAGGTGTCAAGTACGGGAACAGACTGTTTCAGGTCAAAGGTAAAATGAGCTCAAGTTTTCAACTCATTAAGTAAAACACTATAAATGAATGTAAAGCTCATGGTGATTTTTATCTCAGGGCTTCAAGACAAATCAATTCCATGGAAAAAGGACATGAAGCTTTTCAATGCATGGAAAGGTTTGCACCATTTTTTCCCCTCAAAATATTCTTTATTACAAATCAAGTAGTGTCTTTAAGAGGGCATTGGAAAGTTTATGTGTCAGCAGTTGAAGATGTGTCATTGTAATTACAGAGGGACGAACAGGAGTGCCCTTTGTGGATGCCAACATGAGAGAGTTGGCAATGACAGGCTTCATGTCCAACAGGGGGCGGCAAAATGTTGCTAGCTTCCTCACAAAAGACCTGGGCCTGGATTGGAGGATGGGAGCGGAGTGGTTTGAGTACCTTCTAGTAAGTAGTGTAGGCCAGGTTTTAAGCCAGTTTGGTACTGGTATTTTTAGGACATTCATTATTATTATTATTATTATTATTATTATTATATTATTACTAATTATTGGCTATATGATTAAATTTTTGAGTGCTTTGGGCTCATCATTTAAAAACTTCCTCCAAAGATTGACCATGATGTCTGCAGCAACTATGGGAACTGGCTTTACAGCGCTGGCATAGGGAATGACCCCAGAGAAAACAGGAAGTTCAACATGATCAAGCAAGGCCTCGACTACGACAGTAATGTATGTTAGAAAAGATGCATGGTTCCGTTTCCCTTTCACATTTGTATGGAAGTTGCTCTCGTTGGTCTTTGTGATTGTATTGTTGTCATGTGATGGTGATGAAACCCGTACAAATGTGGCGAGATGGAAATTTCATCCACTGACTGAATTGTTCCTCGGTCTCCCACGCATCTGCTTTAGGGTGACTATGTACGGCAGTGGGTCCCTGAGCTGCAGGGGATCAAGGGAGCTGACGTGCACACGCCTTGGACCCTCAGCACTGCCGCACTGTCGCACGCTCACGTGTCCCTTGGTGAGACATACCCAAACCCCATCGTCACAGCGCCAGAATGGAGCAGGCATGTTAACAAGAAACCGGTGGGTGTTTCAGAAAGAGGAAGTGGATACTATGATTGTGTGCTGCTGCTGTTATAAATATCTTTTGTGATTACAAATAAAAGTGGTGGAATGTAAGTGCTGTATTAAAGTACATTTTTAACTTGAATATTCCTGTTTTATGTAGTTCCCAAATCTATAATTGTTAAATATCCAAAGAGATCCAATTATTTAGTATCTCATGAAAAATCCAAAACTAAAGAAAAGTCCAAAAAGTTTAATACATGACCCCTCAGATTTATCTTGTGACCCTTTGTAAGGGGCCCGACCCGTAAGGTGGGAACCACTGGACTACACCTAACTGTATATAAAGTAGCTAAAAGAAGCTTCACAATAAAATGCTATTTCTACATTGACAACCTAATAAGGTCATATATAGTATAATGTCACTATAATAGTCATTTTTTTGCAGAATGAGTTCTTTTACTTTTAATACTATGAGTAAATTTAGCTGCTAATATTTTTTTTGTATGATTTTGAATGAGTTTTACATGAGTGTTTTTACATTGAGCCATTGCCTTGCTGTATTTTTTTCAGAGCGGCGCAGGGCCTTCACCAAGAGGAAAGAGAGGTCCATCTCACACTCCCAAACAACATCGGGACAGAGGCATAGACTTCTATTTCTCCAGAAGCAAAAACCTGTGATGTTCCTGAAAAGCGCACACTGAACATGTGACAGGTGCTCAGAGGATAGACGCTTCAGTGATGCAAACTTGGACTGTTGCTGTCAAACCTGAGTTGCACACTAACTGGTTGACTAAGGGAACTTGATTTGAGGAAATGCATCGTCCTACCTAACTGGATACTTGAACTTGACGGATGTGGCAATTCTGTAGAAAAATAGGCCATATTTCTGGGTTTCCTGTTAGGCTGCCGCTACTGTGAAAGTTATGCTGTGGTTTTTAGTTTTCCTTCAGTTAATCAGACATTGATTTGAACTTATTTTCATTTTGTTTATTATTGTTTTTGTTGCAGTTTTCTTATTTCTCTTTGGATATAAGGTTGTTATTAACTTTCTTTGCCTGTTTGTGGGCAATGGAAAGAGTGTTGTTATGGCTTTTTTGTTATGTAATACACGTTTTCTACAGCATTTAACTGAATCATGAGTGTTTATTTCAAATGTCTATTAAATATCAAAGGGAAGGGAGGGATTTTCTGGTGACAGAAGCCAAGAAAAGGGAACAGAAACTCATTTCTTTTTTTTGCAGCGCAGTTTCGTGTGTGTGCCCACTGCTTAAAGTCACTTCACTAAATCAATAAATCTATTTCGCTTCTGCTCACCAAAAACGATGATACCCGTGAGTTAATAAGCACAATGCAGTGGGAGTGCGCTCGTCTCTCCAGTGGTGAGTCTGTAGGTAAACAGCAGCCCTCCCCCCCGACACTGTGACGCAGCAGCTGACATCACTTCCCTGTTCGCTTGTCAGGTAAGCTGTCGGAAAAAGACTCGATACTGCAAAACCCCGTCGTCTGTGGCTACAATGTCCTCCCCTTTGGTGTTTTAACCGAAGCCCGTCGTCTCTTAGTCGGAGGAAACTTTCCCAACATGGCGTGCTGCAAGTCAGACTCGGCGGTGGACTTGGGGACGATTCCCCTCATTGCACTGAATGTCAGGGTGCGGAAAAAGTTGGGACTGTATTTAAACCCCAGGAACATGGTGGCCGCGGACTGGATGGCCGTTGCGGAGGTGATGGGGTTTAACTACCTCGAGATAAAGAACTATGAGGCGTCCAAAAACCCCACGCAAATGGCTCTGGAGGGCTGGCAGGCCCGCTCCACGGACGCGTCCGTGGGGAAGCTGCTGTCCATCCTGGCAGAGGTGGAGAGAGAGGACATTGTGGAGGATCTTCGTCCGCTGATAGGTGCGTTGGTGTCACTTGGAATCAGTGTGTGGGTGTGTGTGGGTGTATATGTGTGTGTTTTTGCCCTTTTTAAATGTTTATTTCATTGCTACAAGTGTATATTTTATTCCATCACACGTCCCTGTACTCCAGGAAATGATTCACATGCCTGAACTCCCATATTGCATAAAGTATTGACACACATGGTTCAGAATGAATGATGAGATGTCCCCACATGGTGTAATTGTTTGTGTGTTTACAAGCTGAGAATAAAAAAATCAGTTCCCCTGTTGTTATTCTTTCTACAAACGTGTCCTCACACCACATTCAGTCCACTTTCTGTCCCATCTACCCCCCCAACTTACTGTATTCAAACCTCTGTATTTGTGTGTTGTTTGCCCCTGTCCATCTTTGTGTGTGCCAGATGAGGACGTGAGGAAGTATTGCGAGAGTCAGAAGAAGAAGGCTGAGCCCCCAGTTCAGGTTGATGAGGTGGACAGCTGTTTCCCGCGTACCCCGGAGAGGATTGGCATCACCCTGGAGGATGACCCCGAAGGTCGGTATCTGTGTGATCCTCATTTGTGCTTTCTAACGTACAATGCACAAGGCATAAACACACAGTGATTTCTGTCTACGCACACAAACTGCAGTCCAACTTGCGTCAGCATTAGTTGCATAACATAAGAAACACATCTTATAAATAATTAGCTAATGCGTACTTTGACTTTTGGTACTTAAAGTACATTTTTACGACAAAACTTTAAATAAGTATGTACATTTAGAAAATGTGGTATTAATACATTCACTACTTCCCTTACCACTGGTAATAAGAGCTACGCTTTGAGCAGCTGTAGTTGTAAACAAGATTAAATGCATGTTATGAATAATACATACAATATTAGATTGGTACATATGGTCTGCTAGACTTGCGTCTGCAGCAGTGTTATCCCTACAACACCAAAAGAGCAAATTTTAAGCGTGCATAAATGCATGTCGGATGAAACTAGTGAAAATACAAACTTTAAATAATTAGAATTAATTTTCTAGGTTACGAGCAATCAGTAGTTATAGCTGTTGTAAATATTTACATGATACGTTGCTGGTTTCTCTCCAGACTTAAGCCCTAAATGTCACATCTTAGCAACACTGATACAAAATGTGTGACTTTGTAATACAGTTATAGTAGCTTATGCATTTGCTCGAGTCAAACTTGAGATACTGAGATCAGTGAGAACAGCTTTATTTTCTGTGGTAAAACACAGGAAAAAGCTCCAGCTCGCCTCCTAATCTGACAAGTCATCTGAACCTCTAATCAGACATGTCTGCACCACTGCACCGTTCCACTTCCTCGGACAGTTTTGTGGTTACCACCCTTTATTTTATGTTTGACGTCTGTGAAATATATCTTAATTCTGTGAAATACTATTTCCAAGTGTGTTGTGTTATGTCCTGGGTTGCAAGCTGTAATGCAATACCGACGTTATAAAGATAAATGAAGGGATTGAATTTAATCTAACTGAATTGAATCCAGGTTCCCCTGAACTGTTCGACGCCTTCATCTGCTACTGCCACAGTGACTTCGAGTTTGTCCACGAGATGATCCGGGAGCTGGAGCAGACCCAGTACAAGCTGAAGCTGTGTGTGTTCGACAGAGATGTCCTCCCAGGCTCCTGTGTATGGACCATCACCAGTGAACTCATCGAGAAGAGGTATCAAGGTCTACTCTGTGTGATTTGTTTTTATTTACTTTAACTAGAAAGATTGACTAAGAAAACAGCGGCACATGGGGCCAGCTCTGGTGGATCAGTGCAAACACACAGGGCAAAATGTATTCTGTGGCTCTGTTAATAATCCCTGTGGACAAAACATTTAAATGGGAAGTTCCCAGATACAATGACATAGAGGTTTTCAATCATGGCAGGAAGGTAAACTTGCCAAATAACCGTTTCATTTTAAATTTAGATATAGAAAGTCACCTGAGGGCAAGGGGACAATCCACCCTTCTTAAAATCTCCCTAATTTCTGACTCTCACATGTTTGCAGCAGCTATAACATGTGACCTTCTGTGCAGGTGTAAGAGGATGGTGGTGGTGATTTCTGATGAATACCTTGACAGCAATGCCTGTGACTTTCAGACCAAGTTTGCTCTCAGCCTCTCTCCCGGTAAGTTAGATTTTTGTTATAGTTACAACAACACTATATCCCTTTTTTCTGACATAAATGTGCATGCGTGTAATTGACTTTTTTTTTATCCCGCTTGCTGTTTCAGGAGCTCGAAACAAACGCCTTATTCCAGTGGTGTACAAGTCAATGACGAAGCCGTTCCCCAGCATCTTGCGCTTCCTCACCATATGTGACTACACCCGGCCTTGTACACAGGCTTGGTTCTGGACACGGCTGGCCAAAGCGCTGTCGCTGCCATGATCATGGACCTGGCAGTTCGTTCTGTATTAAGGTGCCTTATTATTCCACGAAAGGGAATTTTGGACAATGGCGAAACATTACAGATTCAAGTGTGTGCTATTGCTTGTTATCCATGTCCTGCTGGCTTCTGAAGCACTATCATTATGAAACTCAAGCTGCACAAGGATACCATATAGCAGTAAAGTTCTCTCTGCACAAAGCCATATTATGTTATTAAAATTTCAAAAATAACATAGGTTGTGCCTGCTCATGTTAATATTTATGTGAGTCATATCGGCGAGGACAATCTGTTTGTATTCAGGCCAGCATGCATTAAATCCTCTGTAAAAGGAAGCTGGCCACTTCCTCTTACAAGTTAACTTCTAGATGAGAGCGAAGCCTCAGAGGAAGAGATATTGTGATTGTGACACTTCAACTTTTTCAGTTTTACTCAAGGCTGACACCTGCCTTTCTCTCTCACACTGTCACAATGATGTCTGACATTTAATTTTGTATTTTTAATATGATCTTTTTTTTTTTTTTTAAGAACAGTTTAATGAAAAGTTAATGTATTCTATCTTGACTTGATTGCTCTGAATATGATTTCCTCAAAATAAACTGAACACATTTTTCAATGGCGATTGTCTTTTATTTATAAAGCATATATGCAGTCATAAAAGCACAATAATATCCTGTAGTTCTCCAGCAGGTGTCACGATCGTGCAAACCCTGCATGTTATACAATGCACCACCAGAGGTGTCGCTAATTGAATGCTGTCAAGAACAAACCAGAACAAACTAATGTCTCACTATATTTAACGCTTAACATGAAAACATCCAATGACAGAGCAGCATTTGTGGCACTGTCCAATCAGAGGACAGGATGTTCTCGGAGGAACACGCCTCTTTTCATACATGTCTTTGGGATAAGTTTTGCCCTGAGTTAAACCTGGCAGGTAGCACTTTCCAGCATGTTACACACCTACCGTGCTCTTTTAATCAAATTGTTATTAGTGGGGAAGGGCTGCGATAATTATGTGACAATATGAGCAAAAATATATATTTTTTTTGCTGTATGATGAGAACAAATGCCTGCAAGGCTAAACTGGGGGCATACGAATACAAACCAATCAGTCCGCCATTAAAAGTGTGGCGGAATCCAGAGGCTTGATTCATTTTTTGGGGCATGTTTTACATCACATTTAAACACTCTTTACAGTAGCTTGCGTAGAAAGTATCATTAAGAAACATACTAATGTGTAAAGGTCTTGTAACGCTAACGGTTTAAACAGCCGCCGTCAGTCAGGCTGTATCTCAGTGTAATTAGCCGCCAACCGGTGCCAGCAGTAACCGCCCCCCTTACTGACTAACAGACCCGGAGCTCAGTGCGGTCCACCGTCCCACACTCAACATGTCCGCCGGGAAGGTCCACATTTGCTCAGTAGGAATGCGGTAGGCGGGGCTGCTAGGCTAGTGTCAAACTTTGGGAATGACAGGAGTGCTGCAGGATTCGCAAAGAAGGGGAAGTGTCGCCCTCGTTGGTCCTGTTTGGATTACTTTGACTTCTTTTTCCGCGCAGTCTTTGGATTCGGCGCCTCTCCCACAGACAGCACGGCCCCCAGCGGACTCCTCAGCCATGTCGGAGGACCTGAGCTCCCAACCCTGGTCCATCAACAAAGATGATTATGAGCTGCACGAGGTGATTGGTATGTGATCCGTTGCCCGTTAGCTCAACGTATGTGTCAACCGACAGTCTTGAGAACGTCGGCCGTTGGCTGGTTTAAAACGGGGGGCGGTTGGTTGGGGGGCGGCCACAGCTAACGTAATATTAATGTATTTCAAGTGTAAAGCGACAAGGAGGCATCTTCTTTCTCCTGCGCTAGGTTGAGTTCATCGCGTTTGTCAACTTGGCAAGTCCCAGCCGGGCGGTGTTGTGACTTGGAGCCGGTGGAATGGCTCCTAGTAGCGCGGTTGCCCCGTCCGCCGGGGCTGCGCCGACGGGAGTAAACGAGCGCTACGACGTTAGTGTCTAAAGTGAGGCTCTGACTATGTGCTGGAAGATAAAACCGCTTTCATTGAGCAGTCGGTTATTTATGTGCAGCTCGCTTAATAATACTTAAATACAGGGCGTTGTATCTATAACAAAAAACCACAGGGATATTAACTACATCTTCTCTTAAAATGATGTGTCAGTGTTGGTGATTTTACACAGAACCCGACCTGCAGACTGGGGTTTTAAACATATTAGATAACATTATCTAAAGTTATCTTTTTATTTGAGGGAAAAGACATTGCATTACATAGACTGAAGCAAGGTAGCAGGCACGTAGAGAAGATAGAAACCATGTTTAACTTACACTGTGTGTGTGTGTGTGTTCACGCCCATTTCCAATTAAAACACTGCATATTCAAGCACAGAACTTTTTTATTATTTTTTTTCTTTCCCCAAAACACTGGTGTTGCCACTGCAGAGTCCAGAGATTATACTTCATGGTCCTTCCCGGAGTAAGAGTATTGTTTTGGGCAATTTACTGCCTGAATTAATCCAGTTATGCGAGAGCTCTTTTGGAGAGGATTAATTAACCAGGTCCCTCACAGAAAAAGGGGAGATTTGATCATTTGCTGGGCAACATCATCAATCACACTTTGTTGAAAAGTTAATTGTGGTAACTTCTTTACATGTGCCCAGATTTCTCTGTCAGCCCCCCCTCCAGTGTGACGTCTTCCCCGTGCAGTCCTGGAGGATGACTTAAGGGTTTCGCGTCCTGAAGGAGTGACAGCTTTTACTTGTGAAACTTCTGAAATACCTGACCCTTGCCTACCTCTGGGCTGACTTTGTTGAGGTTGAGAATATGAAGGAGCGCGTGGCGTATAAGCAAAGTATTGTCCCCCCCCCCCCCCCCATCAGTTAGTTTGTGACAATAGACCGGGGACACAACGAGTTATATCTCTGTCGAGGACTAGTCAGCGCCGCCTTCTGAGTGAGCAGGCTCGACCGCCGCCCATCGTCTCACCACACACAAAAGCGGCATACACACAACAGGGGGGATTTGGAGGTGGTGGTGTCCACAATACCGGCTGAGACATGGTGTCTGACGTACTTACCCATCCGCGAGCGTCTAGTGCGGCAGCCTTAAGTAATTATCCCCCTGGAACTGTGTATGACTTGCTGTTAGGTAAGGGTCTAATCCCCCAGACAAGCGAGAGGTCACCATCGCAGGAGAGAAGAAGCGAAGCCATCTGTCGTTTGTACTTGTGATCCCATAGCTCACTCCCGATCCTGAAACCTGACCCTTGCCTTACTCCATATTTCTTACACATGGGACACGGACCTCTTTGAATCCTCTTCTTGAGAGAGAGATGAGGAAGGATAGAGAGGAGAAAGAGACGCAAAGAAGAGAGTATTTGAGGCCATCATTTTATATTGCTTCTGATTAGTTCAAAATAGATAGATGCTCTGGTTCGGGTTGATGGGACAGAGTAATTATCCTCTAGCTGAGTTGTGTGATGCAATATTGATATATAAATAGAATTTGGCCACTCCTCACACAACACACAAACCTTTCTATTTCACACGCACTTATCTAACACACAAGCATTAATCTTTTAAATCCACGTGGCTGGAAACATATCACCCCTTTTAACCACCACAACAGATTGTAACCCTGGTCCCTCTTCCAAAACTGACTGACCTTTTCATCAGTTTCATCATATCTATTTCACCATGTTCTCCTGTGTATCTCAACCCAAAATGCTAAAAACAATAATCATAAAACAAATAACCATTAAAAAAACGAATGCTGAGTCTTGGGAAGTGGTGGACCCATGCAAATATATAGAGTTCTTAATTAAACTCTATTTATGCGCCACTATACTCACAACCCAGTGCGTTCGGCCAATATGCTTTACTCATTCCGTTTTTACACACACGGGGTATATTCCTAGATTGTGATTTTTGTACCTAGTAAGGGTAGAAATTTAGACTAGGTATCCTTGTAATAATAATAATGGGATGCAAACTATTTGTTTCTATGTCAACTTTTAATAAAACAAAAAACTCATGGCAGGCCCTAAATTAACTTTTTTG